ATTAGTCAATTTTTTAGAGATATTTGTGCGTCAGCTTTAAAAGTGGAAGACATCATTAAGTTGGACCAAAACATTGCACTCATTCTTTGTAAGTTGGAACAAGTATTTCCGCCTAGTTTCTTTGACTCCATGGAACATTTACCTGTGCATCTTGCATATGAAGCTTATCTTGGTGGACCTGTTCAATATAGGTGGATGTATCCGTTTGAAAGGTTCATGGGTGATTCAAAGAGATCGGTAAAAAATAAAGCTAGAGTAGAAGGATCTATATGTGCACATTACTTGCATCGGGAAACATCACATTTTTGCAGTCACTATTTCAATCACTTGATGTTAACTCCTAGAATCATACGGAATCCTGTAAATGTCAATCAGAGGAGTCAATTCACCTTATCAGTCTTTGCGCTACCAGGTCGACCTTCTGGAAAGAAGGGTGTGCATTGGTTGACCCAAAAAGAAATGCAATCTGCACATGTCCATGTCTTGATCAACTGCGTTGAAGTTAAACCATATCTTGAGTGAGTTTACCAAAACTTTTTAAACTTATGGTGTGTGTATACCAAACTTATTAAACTTATTGTGTGTTTTTTGTAGGAAATTTAACAATGCCTATTTTCATAGTACCGGGGTACAGTCAACATCAGGTGTCATTCATGCTCAATTTCCCTCATGGTTCAAGCAAACATTGTCTAGCGTTCTTGCACTAACTCCAGAAATACTCCATTTGAGAAACTTGGCAGAAGGCCCTATCCAAAGCGCAAATGATTGGCACACATACTTCGTGAACGGATATAAATTTCACACTGAGGCATGGACCGAAGGGAAAAAAACCATAAATAGTGGTGTTTTTGTAAAAGGAGTTACAGATGGCGGTGAAGACGACTTCTATGGATTTGTTAAACATATCTACGAGTTGGTATACAATTACTTGGACACAGAAAATAAAGTTGTCTTGTTTTATTGTGAATGGTATGATCCAACTAGAGGCACAAAGATAGACAAGTCATATGGTTCTGTCGAGATTCAAATGAACCGGAGATACAAAGAATATGACCCTTTCATAATGTCACATATTGTTAGGCAAGTTTATTATGTTCCTTATCCTTCATTTGTAATACGTAAAAGAGGATGGTGTGTTGTAATAAAAACAAAACCGCTAGGTCATATTGAAACTGGAGATCTAGTGGAAGATGTTGCCTACCAAGTTGATGACGTTGAACAGATTAATGATGTGGTTGCAGCTGAAGACATTACAACTTTGTCCGATACAACTGTTGAGGGACTTCAAGTTGATGCGTCTATATTGTTGGTTGATAATAATGTGGATGAAGACAATGATGAAGAGTTTGAATCCGAGGACAATATTACATCGGATGATGAACATGATATGGATAACGAGCATGAAGATTTAGATTAATTAATCACTTAATGTAATATTAATGAATATCTATTGAACATGTATATATTGAATTTGTCAATGAATATATATTTATGTCAATGACTTTATTATCTTTGTTTATGAAAATATATATAACTAGGTAAAATGGCACCGAAGAATAAGGATACCGGTAAGAAGTCTCAGCGTCCGAGGGTAGTAACATGTGAGTCTCCTCACTCAGCCATGTGCCCACCCCCTCAGAGTCAGGTTGATCATATGTCCCTGGCCAGTACTCAGGGTTTTGTCCCATTACTCTCCTCCCATACATTCCCGTCTGGGGTACCTGCATCTTTTGTGCCACCTGGAGGCCCCGGTTTCCTTTTCCCACAGACTCAGATGTCGTCTTCCTTCCAGCATGCGGGAGGATCTAGTTTCCCTTTCCCACCGACCCAGATGCCGTCATCCTTCCAGCAGGCGGGAGGATCTAGTGTTCCTTTCCCACAGACTCAGATGCCATCTTCCTTCCAGCATGCGGGAGGATCTAGTTTCCCTTTCCCACCGACCCAGGTGCCTTCATCTTTCCAGCAGACTGGTGTCCCCTCATCATTCCAGCAGACAGGGGGAGGACCCAGTTTTCCATTTATACAGACTGGCGTGCCTTCATCATTCCAGCAGACAGGGGGACCCACACAGATGTATTCATCCTTCCAGCAGGCGGGAGGGTCCAGCACCCCACACTCCACACACATTGGAGGACCCAGCAGTCCACGTCCGAAACAGGCTGCAGGATCCCGCGCCCCACGTCCTAGACGGACCGGAGGGTCACGCACCCCTCATCCCACACAGGCTGCAGGATCCAGCACCCCACGTCCTACACAGGCTGACGGTGATGCAGATGTCGTAGCTGATGATATAGATGGAGCTGATATTCGTGAGAGATCAGATGATCCGAGTGAGATTCATGTCATTGACGGGAGGTTTTGGATTTGGCCCGAAGGAAGCAAGTAAGTTTCTTATATAAACTTTTATTTAAGTACATATTCATTTTAATATTTTGTATAAATTTATAATTAATATTGTTTATTCAAAATCTTGTTGTTTAGTTTCGCGCCGAGTCGGACGGCTGCCAAGGTTATTAATTATATAATCCAGCAGATGTATAAATCCTCTTGGAAGAACTTTGGCGAGGTTACAAATAAAGAAGAATGGTTTAAAAAATTTAAGGTATTGTTATTTATTTAAGTTGTAAATTTATTATATTTTTTTAGTATTGTTATTTAAGTCACATTTTAATGATAATTGCTTAACTTTTTATTTTAATGTCATACAACATTGCAGGAAAAATGTGTGTGGGATCCGTTGAATGAGAAAATTATGGAAAAAATCTATTATAGCAGAACTTCTAGAAGATTTTCTGATATAATGCGGCGGGTTAGGGAGAATTATGAGTTGCATGGTATCCGTCCTAACTGGATAGGCGTAGAGGTTTTTGGCGAACTTCGTACATATTGGGGTTCGCCAGAATTCAAGGTCAAATCCGAAAATTTTAAGAAGATGAGGGCATCCGAAAAGGGGGATGTGTTAATACTGTTGGAAGTATTAGCACTGCAGAGCATGTCCGGCGGATGGTAAATATTACTAATTTTTTAAGTTATATATATTTTTATTCATAATATTTTTTACTAATTATTTTTAACTTTATTGTTTAGACTAAGGAGATGGGGAGACCACCATTGATCATTGAGTTGATTACGAGGACTCGGACAAAGAAATCGGGAGGTTTTGTCGACGACCGCACCCAGAAAGCTTTTGTAAGTAATTAAACTTATGTTTTTTTTTTAAGTTAATAACAAAAATAGTGACGTTATTTCCACGTGGCAATCTATAAGTTGTGGCGTGATTATCATGTGGCAACTGATAAATTGCCAGGTGACTGATTTTCATGTGGCAACTGATACATTGCCACGGGAAACTCACGTGGCAATTCATAAGTTGATTTGTGAAAATCACGTGACAAATTTTTAATATATTTGAATTTAGTATAATTTAATATATAAATGTTTTAATTTTTTTTTAATTGTATTATTTAATGTAATTGTAGGATGATTATCAGACATTGCTAGCACGTTTTCTGGAACACAATCCGCAATATAGGCCAGCAGAGGGGGAGCCGCTTAATGGGGATGTTGATTTCTATATTTGGAATGAGGTTGTTAATGGAAAAGGGCCTAATGGTTGCTTTTTTGCGGGAGGAAATTTGGCCGCCGGCTTGAGAGTTGGTGATCGTAATCTGTTTCAAAGACTTAGAGATGGAGAAGGGGGGTCACGTCAACCCAATCTGACTCAGGTTCAACTTGAAACAGTACGACAATTGGCGGCCAGTGAAGTGAGACGCGAAATGGAGGCCCAAATGACGACAATGAGGCAAGAGCAGGAGCGTCAGTTAGAGATCATGCGGAAGCGGCAATCTGATATGGAGGAGCAGATGAGACAGTTTATGCAAGGCGGTCGAAATCAAAATGTTCCTGATCATACACAGCCGGATGATGACGGACTTGATGACTTTGATCTTGATAATTTTCCGGGTGAAGATGCCCCGTGAAAACATTTTTTTTTATTTCGTTTTTATATTTGCATTTATGTAAGATATTTATTTTTATCATTTTAAATTATTAAATTATATAACATTTAATTATATGAATTTATTTTATAAAATTCTATTATTCGAAATATAAAATAAAATACTATTATTCTAATAATTTTAATATATAAATTTTATTATATAAAATTTATTATATAAATTTTAATATATAAATTTTATTATATAAATTTTATTATATAAATTTTATTATTTAAATTTTATTACATTAATGAATTAATATAAAAAATAATTATTAACAATTTTTAAAAAAATAAAAACGTCCCCTGTAGCGACGTGGGAATCATGTCACAAATTAGTGACACGACTCTCACGTCGCTAATAAAGCTGCCATTAACAAATATGTAGCGACGTGAATACCACGTCACAACTTTGTGACGTGGGAATCACGTCGCTACTTACTTGCCACTTACTCCCCAGCGACATAAGTCACCACGTCGCTAATTTTCACTACGCCAAATAAGCTATTTAATAGCGCTTTTTTTTTGTTTTTGATAGCGCTTAAAAGTGCTATTAACCGCGCCACTATTGTAAATATTTCTTATTTAATAGCACTTTAAAAGCGCTATTAAAGTACCAATTTATAATAGCGTTTTAATTAAAGTGCTATCAAAGTCAGTATTTTGCATGTTTTTTGTTTGTTTTTTTATAGCACTCTAAACAAAAAGCGCTAATATATAACATATGTTTGATAGCGCTTTCAAATAAAGTGCTAATAAATGGTACATATTTGGTACAATATTTTTAATAAGTACATTACAATATTTTTTCTTACACAATCATTTTTTTTGGTGTAAATATAAAATAACTATATTCAATTCAACACAAATAACGCTTTAAGTTACTCATTGCATATATATTATGATCCATCAAATACCAAATAACATTTTAAATTACCAAATCCTATTGTTTCCAAATATCATAACATATAGAATATTAAGAGGGCGTTTGCATAGCCAAATCCTATATAGCAGCATAGACGGCAATGAAAGTAAATGAAGGAATGCCAGAACCATCTGATGTAGCAATTGCTAGCCAATAGTCACCAGCCAAAAATGACAACACCCAACCCGCTGACATTGCTACTACAAGTGCTATTCCCCACCATCCAAATGCTTCTGTGAAATATTGTTTGTATACTTTAATGCTCACATGTCCAGTTTCTCTTCCCTCATCTTCAATGAGCTTTGCTGCAGTTTTATTAGATTGATCTTGAGAAGACTGCTTTTCAACTCCGCTTTCTTTTTCTTTCGATGCGATGCGAGCAAGTATTGGAGATTGAGCTGAATCATCAACTGTTTTGTCTCCTGTTTCTGCTATCTCCATCGAGGATTCATGAGCTGCTACAAGTGCACCAAAATCTAGGCCTGCTTTGAGAAGTTCCTCATACTTTCCACTTTGCACTACTCTCCCTTCACGCATCACCTTTAAAGTTGGTGTCAAAATGTTAGAATAATAGATGTTATGCAAGAAAAAGTCAAACATTTAAGGGACTTGTGAACAATACATACCATTATATAGTCAACATTATGCAGGAAATCAACTTGGTGGGTTACAAGTAAAACTGTCTTATCTTTGAGAGTTCCCATGATACATTCCTGCAAAAAGATGGAGAATCACTTGTGATTTGTATTAGAAATATCAAATGACAATTCATTTATAATGGAGACCAATATCATCTTGATTGATATTATAATGTATTTTTTCTAATCTAAAAAACTAGAAACTGTAGCTTTGTGCTTACCTTAAAAATAAAAGATCCTGTTTGAGCATCAACAGCACTGAATACATCATCAAGGAGATAGATGTCAGTGTCCTGATATACAGCTCTAGCAAGCTGTACGCGTTGTTTCTGACCACCACTGAGGTTTATTCCGCGCTCTCCAATCTCAGTCTCATCACCATATTCCATCATTTCAAGATCCTTCTCAAGACAGCATACTCTTAAAGCTTCCCTATACTTGTCCATGTTCATTGGTAAACCAAACAGTATGTTTTCTTTGATGGTTGCGTTCTGAATCCATGATGTTTGTGCTACATACGCTGTCGTCCCACAAACTCTTACCTGAAAGATTTTACCAGTAATAATGACAAATGTTAAAGATTTAAGCAAATTTCCATTCATGATGAACCAAATGCTATTCTTCTATACAAGAAGAAGCAAATAACTTGAAGTGCAAAAAAATAAAGAAACTAGAAGAGTCCAAAGCACCTTTCCTGAGATCTTGAACATTTCTCCCAACAAAGAAGCCAATAATGAAGACTTGCCTGAACCAACAGTTCCTACAACAGCAGCATGATTCCCTTTCTTAATTTCCAACTCATCAACTCTCAAAGCATCATTCTCATCGTTATCATCCCATGAGAATTTCCCATCTTTTATCTCCACTGCTACATCATCGTCACAACTCTCCTCTTTTTGCACTGCATTCTCATCCATTTCCTTGCTCATCATGAACTCATCCAACCTCCCTAAAGATATTGTTGCTTGAGAAACCGCCACAAGAGCCTGAGGAAAAGTCCTCAAAGGTTCTTGAAGTATCTTGATAATCGAAGTTATTATGAAAACAGTGCCAGGATTCAAAGGAATTCCAATAAAAGTTGCAGTTCCAAAGGTAAGAACAGTTACAATTAATGGTGCAGCATTCAATACGCCCAAGTTAACAGCAAAATTGTACAAGAATTTCCCAATCCATCCATGCTCGGCTTCACGAAACTGTTGAATTTTGTTACCGAAATACTCTTCCCACGCTTGAAACTTAATCACACGCATATTGTTAAGCAACTCATTTGTCGCCTTCAGTCTCAAATCGCGGCTTGTCATTATCTGAAACTGGAAACGATTACTACTCTTAAATCGATATGTTGTGATAAGAAAACAAAAGAAAATAGGACAATGTGTCAATTAAAGTTAACAGAAAAAGAAAAACTGTCATGTGTTATACTTCTTATTATGTCAGCTATGTTCTTTAACTTTAGGAATAAATGTCAAAAGACAATGATAAAACAGAGAACAATAATAAAACCTCAACATTGTATGAAAAACATAGAACAATGATGAAACCAACCTGAAATAGATATAATGATTCTGTACAACTTTAAAATCATTTTTTAAGCTTAACTAAATGATACTGAGTATAGCTATGCACCTTCCTAGTGGAGGTAAGCCACCAGCAACAGATGATGAAGAATGCCTTCGCGTGTTCCGTGATTCTGAGTTTGGCAAAGGCTCAGTTTCTGAAGTAGTAAACCTCCTACCACTAGCCCTTGCTTGGGATAAGTTCTATCAAATCATAATCACCATGGAATCAATCAACAGTCAGCACACATTTGCAAATATTCTAATAATGGTGGTTTCAAATAATTTATTTAATTTTATTGCTCAGGTCAAATGACAAAATCCCAAATGTACTATAATCAATATAAAGTAGCAACTCATGTACCCTTCTAAGAAAACAACGGATTTCTTATTTGTCTTTTGATATGTTTTGTAGTCACATGGGTGGGGTAAGTAAACACAGTCAAGGATCCCTGAATCACAAAAATTCAGGCTGTAGCGGATGGGCCATTCAATCAAGGCACCCATTATTTCATGTCATCAAAACTTTAAAATTTCAAGATCATTTGCACATTTAAAAAAAAAAAGATATAACCTAGTCTGGTTCTTTATATCGCTGCCTCCTCGATAATAGTTAATAATTTCCCTTCCTAAATCTCAAAATATTAAGTTTGAAAAGTCCCAAATTACAAAATCTTGCCTCTAGGATGCTAAAACTCGCTATTAACCCAACCTAACCTAAAGACCCTACAACATTTTGACATAACCCCGGTTGTAATAGGAGACCAATTCACAACCTAAAATTCACAAACTTGAGTTGTCACATACATGCAACATAAGACAAAGGTGCAAGGAGACCAATTCACAAGCTATGAAATTAAACATGGCAAGCACTTTCTAGCTTGATCAGAAGAGCCTTGGAATGTCATCAAAACATTTCCATTAGATTCAACCAAACAAAACTATAAAAAAAAACTGCAGCATATGCATTCCTTGATTCCATTACTAAAGGACCAAAACCCATCTTAATCACAGTGCAGAACAACCAAGAAAGCCCGCATATAAAACATCACAGTAATAAAGAATTAAAGAACGACATGACATGACGAGTGCAATGAAATAAAAAACCTCAAATTTCAAGAATCCTTCAAGCACATCCAAGAGCACGGGACTGTCTCCATTTCTATTAAGATCATATCCATTTTTGCTACTAAACTCTTTCAACTCAGACTTCCAAAAATCTTTCTCCTGCAAAAAAAAAAGTGTGCCAAGTCAAAAGCAACATAATAACAGAAATAAACAAAAAGCAACAAGATAATAATAAATACAAGGAAAAAACAGAAAATCGATTAATTACCAAATTACATTCTGGAAGATAAACTTTTAGCGAGTGAGTAAGCTGTACCCAGTCAAGGTATTCACATACCAGTGCAGTAAGAAGTCTACCTGCATAGTGAATACCAAAAAAGAAACATTTCAAAATGGAGCATCTCCAAACATAAATACACATAAGTCATATTAGGCAGAATAGAATAGGCGAATGAAAATGCACAGGTCGGATCGGATACAACAAAGGTGTGAGAATATATAGTAGCAAATAACTGAATTAAAGTAATTCAAACTCAAAATTACATTCTAATTAGGTAAAAAAAACATAATTATAGAGCATATAAACAGAAAATGAGTATGAAAAAGGTGAATTACCAGAAGGAGAAGCGTGAAGCTGTTTAGCACGATCGTTACAGCTACCTAACAATGCAGGAGGCAGAGCTTGATCCTTTTCGATGACACGATCTTCTTCTTCGATAGCTTCAAAGACACTAGCTCTTAATTCAGCCTGAAACATGAAGAAGAATTGAAAATTATGGATCTGAATAAGAAAACCCTAAAAATGAAGAAAAGGGAGAAGAACAATGAAATACTCGGATCCTAGCGAGAACGCCTTTCTTCTCAAGAGTGCGAGTCACGAGGGTTTTGAGGTCCATCATCTCTCTCGTGTAATCGTCCATTCTTTTCGATTTTCACTTTCCAAACTTCTTCTTCTTTTTCTTTTCTCTTCTGTGCGCCAAATCCCCAATTTATACCAATAATACCAATGTTTTTTTTATCAATTAATTAATTAATTCATTATTATATATAACATAGCGCTTTTTAATAAATGCTATTATATAGGTAGTCAAATAATAGCGTTTTATACAAAATGCTATCTTAAAGAAGTTTAATAATAGCGTTTTGGTACAAAGTGCTATCAAAAATACATAGTCTGTATTATATAATAGCGCCCGATTAAAAAGTGCTATTATAAATGTGTTTTTTCCATTTTAATAGCATTTTTTTTAAAAGTGCTATTAAATTAGGTGATACAAAAAATCATTTTTGGCGTAGTGTTTGTTTTGCCACGTAATTTTGATGTTTGCCACGTGATTTTCACGTGGCAAATAAGCTTCTTTTTTGTAGTGTTCATTTTAAGAGTCATTTAAAAAAAAATTATTTAAGTGTTATTTTTATATTTTAATGTTATAATTTGTCAATCATTCTTTTACTTTCTCAATAACTTCACTTCACATTTTTCATAAAATTAATTATTTTCTCAATTAGTTATTGGATAAATAGAAAAAATAAATGAGAGTATTCAATTAAAAAAAAAACTATAATAATTCACTAAATGAAGGGAGTATTAATTAATAAAAAGTCATTAAACTTTAAAACTTTTAAGAACATCTTTAAATAGGATGTATCATGGAGAACTAGATTGCATCACGTGTTCTAGAGAGAAGGAATCTCTCTCTAAGAACTCAACGTGCCCCCTTTTTTTCCTTTTCTCCTAGGATTTTGTAGTGGTTGTTTTTTCTAAATCTTTCTGACTGTTTTTTCCTCTTCGTTTGGATTTTTGAGTGTGTGATTCTTGGCTATTACTCTGCTATTTACAGTTTCTATTTTCGGTGTTTGAAGGCTTCGACAGTGGGTTTTGGTAGTTGACACCATGATGGTTCCCCAACTGTTTTTTCCTATAACCTCTATCAAGCTTATCCTACTTGTCCTCTTCTACGCCATCACCCACCAAACGTTTGCAATTTCAAAATCATCTCCGACATCCGATGGACCAAGGTGTCTCGATCATGGAAAACAGCCTCCAGCACAGAAAGATTTGGATTTCCTGAGTTTATGTGTGAGTATCCTTGTTTTGTGTATTATTATTATGTTTGTGTTGATGTGGTTGTTGTTGTGTCTTGTTTGGTTTATTCTGGTGTGTATTTTGTTCTTAGATTTAGGTTGCAGTAAGTTTGTGCTCAAGGTGTTTGTGGATTTGTCTCAGAAGCTTGAATGTAGGAGTTTTGCTTTTGAGGGAGATTCTATTTAGGATTGGTGCAAATCAACCTCATCATTTCGGTTAACAATTGATTTCACCACATATCGTGAGTTTTTTCAATCTTGAAAGTCGTATAATCGATTTGCAATAAAATAAAAGAAATAATCTGTAACTAAATAGATTTAATGATTGTGGCTCCGCAACTCAGCTCTTCCTAAAAATCTTTGCTTAATTGTTTAGATTAAGGTTTTGGATTGATATCTCTCTTTCAACTTCTAATCTCTCAAAGGTATTTGATGTTCATAACTTGTTTTATTTAATTATTAATGTTTTGTGGTTGAAAAGTATCCTAATACAATATGTTTGCCTATGTTTGTATCCTCATTTTTTAATCTATTGAATGAGATTTTTTTTTTTGTAAAAAGAAGGATGTATCAATGAATATATCATGAAAAATCAATTTTTTTTATTGAAAAAATTTGAAGTGACAAAGTAAATAAACTGTTATTATTTATCAGTTGAAGTATCCCATCATTTGATATATAATTAGTACTTTTATTCTTTGCGATATATGAGACAAATTATAAATAAATATTATGTGTGTGAAATTTTGTTTTAGAATTTTTGTTGATGGAATAATTAAAGTATATAGAAATTAATGGTGGAGTAATGAATTAAAATATTAAATATTAATTAATATATTAAACAATATTTATTAGAAAGAGAAAAAAAATATAATTAAAAATATTTAGGTGAGATTTTCCTCAAAGTTTGACGCATAATTGTGTATTCTGTTTTAATATATTAAGGATTATCATTAATATTTATTATTGAGTACAATTTAACATTGGAGAGAGTTCTTATTAGTACTAGTGAAGTAATAGTATTCTAAAATTTAAAATAACTTTTAAAAATATTATTAGAGAATCTCAAAGAGAATTACGTTTATCATTGATTTTGCTTTTTTATAAGAATTTCAAAGTTTAATTTCTTGTCGACCAACCATAAAAATCTAGAAAATGAATAACTACAAAATAAGAGGACCTGGTATTAAACTTATATCAAGGGAGTTGTAAATTTTAGAATAGGCATAATGAATCAAGATCGATGATTTAAGATCACAAACATAGAAAGATTTTTTTTGATAAGCAACTCTTGCATCAAGAGAAATGAGTACTAGGGATACTCCAACCCTTACAAGAAAAAACAATAGATTAAGAAAAAACTTGAAACAACCATGAATCAAATACAAAGAAAAGGATTTTTAAACCACTCTAAAAATTACATGAAATTATGTCTTTAGAACCTATTGCGAGCCACCACCATGAGAACCATATAGTCTTGGAAAAGATTTCATCTATATCTAGCTCAGCTCCATTAAAGACAATGTCATTTCTATGGTTCCAGATACACCAATAAATTGTCAACCACACGAATCCAGCTTTATTACTTGGCATTTTGTTATTTCTCTTCAACATTGTTTAACAAGTGGCTGCTACAATCAGTTCCTACAAGAACTACCACGTCCAACCAAATTTGGATCTTCTGCCATAACACCTTCAACTTTGTACAATGCAACATCAAATGATCAATTTCCTCCATTTGTCGTTGGCAAAAAACGCAATCCGCATCATGGGCCTGAATGATAATACCTCTGTGATATAGTTGCTTCCTCGAGGGGAGTCTATCCAACATAATTCTCCATCCGAAGATTTTGATTTTAGAAGGAACTCGAGATCCCTAGATAATTTGGAGAGCCTATTTTATCCTTTCTTCCAGCATGCCCTCGCCTTGCACCTGCATAAGAATTTCGTAACAAGAGTTCACAATAAACAATCTTGTATTATTAAACGACCAAGTGACAACATCAGTGCAGTCCGAAGCAGGCTGCATGCCAATCAGCACCACTTCTAATTTACCATATTCTCTCAATGCCTCCAGACCCAATACTTCTTCATTTTGAATAATCTTCCAAATCCAAACATCATTGTGGCAATTGCCCATGTTGCTGACATAGTAATATTTATTTGAAATTTCCTGGAATAAAGCTGGAAAATGATCAACAAGTAATATGTACCCCAACTGTTGTACCCCAAAATTTTCCCTCTCATTTTATCAAGATTTCCCCTCACAAGACTCTTTGAACTTCAAACAGGATTAGGGTTTGCTCTGCTCGAGACATCTCCTTACATTGATGACCTAAATTAGGGTTTGAGTTTGCACAGGGATTTTTGGACTTTCAATGCTCAAAGTGGCTTTCATATTTCATGTTGGAATTATAAGATTACCCCTACCAAGTTTCAAGCCTTGAATCAAATTTTTGCCTAGTCAATTGGACAGTTGACCTAAAAATCAGTTGTATTGGAGAAAAAGTCAACTGTGACCAATTTACAGTCAAAACTCATAATTTTTTATCCACATCAACATTATATCCTCCTATGGACCATTTGATCAAGTTTGGACCACAACTCCTCAAGAAATTTGATCAAATCATCAAAAGGGCAAAATGGTCATTTTTAGGGTTTTGATTGTATAAGGGCAATTTCTGATTTTTCACCTAGCCAATGGCAAATTGGGTTCAAGAATGGATTCAAGGACTCAATGGCATCATCTTGACCTATTCACAAGGTTCAAAAGATCTCAAATGCATTGGATTGACAGATGAATTTTTCAGTCAATTGATCAAAATTTGACTGTACACTGAAAAGTCAAACTTTGACTTTTTGGTCAAAATCAAGTGCCAAGGGTTATTTTTCATCAAGATGTGTCAAAACATGAAACTTGTTCATCAAGAAAACTAATTTTGCAAATTAGGGTTTAAGATTGAAAATTTTCATAACTTAGAATTTTTCTAAGTTATGAAATTTTCTTATTTTTTCCCAACTTTGCCCAACATTTTCACCATGATGCAATTGGATTAAAACAAAACCTCCAACATGAAAGTTGTAGTCCTCCAAAAAATCTACAACTTTTATTCACAAAGTTTTCTCAAAAGAAGCTTGGATCTCAAGTTATGATTTTTGGAACAAGGATCCATGAAACTTTTAACTTAGTGAAATTTTGCCCTAGTTTAGGCAGGATTTTGACCTATCTTCATGACCATTTTTCACATAGTTCCACTTGGAATCTCAAATTTAAATTCAAATATGGATTGTAGAGTATGTTACAAGATTTCCAAAATGTCCAAGAACTCTCCAAAATCATTTGTGGTTAGGGAGAATCGAAGGTTTGAATTTGGCAAAAACTCACTTTGATCCATGGCATGTTTCATGTTGCTACAAGTTGCAATTTCCATCCAGCATTGTTTGTACTTGATTACAGGTCCCTAAACCCTTTCATACTCAATAATTAAATTCAAATTCATTGGTTTGAGGCTTTGTTCTGATCATGGGAGGATTACACAAGAGATTAATCCAAAAATAGCAAAAAGGCAACATTGCCATTTTTGTCAAATTTGCTTTATGTCAAATTGCATTCTTGAGCCTTGAACCAAATCTTATACAGCAAACCAAATCCACAAACTTGGGGCCAAGCTCACACAATGTATGCAGGGTTAGAGCTAGCCTGTACAGGCCTGATCTTTGTCACTTCTCATTTTTTGCTTCATAACCAATAAACTTGCCAAAATCACATAACTTGCATATCTGTTATAGCCAACTCTTGCAAGCATTAGAGACAAGTTTTGTACATTGCCTTGAGCTAGAAACACGAATTATTGAACCCTCAAGCCTTCCAAAACACAAAATCACATTCTTCTTGCAAAACAAGGCACTCCCTAAAATTTCACTTCCATCACACAAACCACTCGTGCATTTTGCCCCAAACCTGTTCAAACACATTCCATATAACCTATCCAAGCTATTCCAACCATTGGACAGGGACTGTAACTCCATTTGCAAGCTTCACCATTTCTGTTTTCAGCTTGTGCGGATTGACTTCTACAAGCTTGTTCTAGCAAGTCCAAAGCAAACTAGGCATTGGGGAAGGTCAGAGGAAGTTCAGGCAAGCTCCCAAGCACCTCAGGTCTCACTGAAAAGCTCCACATTGCCATACACGAGTTCATCTGAAACAGGTATTTGGCAACTTCCTATCTCTCTATTTAGGAATCATTAGGCTTAGGTTTGTGAATAAAAAATGTAGTACTCATAGCCCTGAAGTTGTACATATGCTTAAATTTCATTTAAGTTAATCGTGTTAAGAGAATTTGATTCATGAATTTCCTGAAAAAGTTAGGTTAGAAATTAGGGCCAGAGAAATTCTCTCTGGTCTTTGAGAGTTAGATTGAGTTTTTTACATGGTTGGAATCGTCTTGGAAAATGCTATAACTTTTGTGTTATGAGTTTTTGCATTAGAGCACATATGCAGGAGTTGGATATTTGAATCAGGCGCGCGTATTTTGTTTGGCAAAGGTTGAAGATGAAGTTCAGTGGACTGGGCTTTGGCTTGGCTTGCTTTTTGCACCTCCAGTTTGCTGATTGCCCCCCCTGGCCCATTTCTTTATATTTTGTATTTTTCTATTTATTTTTCATTTCTGATTTTATTCTATTTTTTCTAAACATAAAAAACTTAACAAAAATATTTTTATAAATTTTCACATTTATTTTTATATTTTATTTTATTTTTCTAACATGAAAATAATTATTAATTAGTATATACTTTTATTTTCTTTAATAAAAACTTGAAAATAATACATAAAAAATATTATATTTTTATTATTATTATTTACATACTTAAATAATATTTTTATAATATATTTTCATTTTTTGACATTTGTATATATTTCATTATTTTTATTTTATTGTATATAAACAATATAATTAATATATATACTTTTCTTAAAGAAAATTAGGGTTTTTACCCTTGACAAAAATAATCTTTTATTCCTATTTTTTTAATACATTAAATATATTATTTTTACACATATAAAAATAAATAAAAACATTTCTTGCATATTCATAATATTTTGCATATTTATATTTTGTTGCTTATTTAAATATTGTTTATTTATTGTTTAATGCAAAGAATTCAATTTGGATGTAATAGTAAATATT